TACGCCGTCGCCGGCGACTCCCTGCAGCCCAGCTCCAGGTTGAGCTGTTGTTCAGCATCTTAGCTGTGGAGGGCACTGTCACTGGCCCTCATATGTGGGATCCGAACCAGGGCCCTCTGGCATCCCAAGCCAGTTCTTAACCATCGTGCCACTCGGCCGGCCCGAGGTGGGAGTTTTTATTGAAGGCTTTCCCACATTCCCTGCATTTATAGGATTTTTCTCCTGTATGAATTCGCTGGTGAACAACAAGCTGAGACTTGCTACAGAAGGCCTTCCCACATTCTCTACATCCATAGGGTTTATCTCCTATATGACTTGTTTGATAGATAATCAGGTTTGACTTCTGCATAAAACCTTTCCCACAATCACTACATTCAAATGGTTTCACTCCTGTGTACGTTTTGTAATGTAATCTCACCTTTGTCTTCTCCCTGTAAGCTTTTCCACATTCTTTGCATTCATAGGGTTTCTCTCCTGTATGAGTCCTATGATGCAGAATGAGATGATACTTTGTTCTGAAGGATTTCTGACACTCGATACATCTAAATGGTTTCTCTCCTGTATGAATTCTCTGATGCAAAGTGAGATGACATTTTGTACTGAAACCTTTCTGACATTCACTGCATCTGTATGGCTTCTCTCCTGTATGAGTTCTCTGGTGTACTATGAGCTTTGAGTTATTCCTCAAGGATTTTGGACATTCACTACATTCATCAGGTTTCCCTTCTGTGTGAATTCTTTGATGCCTTTTAGGGTTTGTCACCAGGCTGAAAGCCTTTACACATAAATTATGTTCATAGTACTGGGCTTCAGCGTGGGAGGTTTCATATAGAGCATGGAAAAAATTATTTCCCAGGACCCTTTGAGTCATCAGAGTTCATTTCTGCATAGTTTTTACTCTGCAAATTTGAATCTGAATTTTGTTTCAAACTTACTCCTCTTGAAACACATTTATGGTGTTTTTCTATAAATGGAACAATTTTTTTGCTGAGAGAAAATACTTTTCCCAATGCATTATTTTCATGATTTCTCCACAGGTTCAGCCTTCTCAATATCTTCCTGATGCATATCATAAACTTGCCATATTACTTCTAGGGGGGAAAAATCAATGAATCCTACCACTATCATGAAATGGAGAGGGATGGCATCTCAAGTCAATATTAAAAAAGAATGAAGAAAGTGATACAGCAGGTGCATAATATATGTCTGAGGCATCCAATAAAAACAACAGTAATAGGTAACGAACTGCAGGACATGAGTGTCATCAAACTTTGGAACAAATCTGTGAATATTTGAAAGCATAATATAAGAGACTGGTTGTGTCTAAAAGCTGCAACAGAAGAACAATTAAGCAAAAAAGGAACGACCAAATGAAATAGGTAAAGATCTGATTCAGCGTAGATAAAGGGGGGCACATCTCTTCAGTGGCTAGCAAAAAAGAGTCATATAAGGAAGGGTGGTTAAGAGAAGCATGCAACATCCATAAAAAAGACCTCTTTCCACTTATTTTAAGTCACCTCTAAAGGTTCAGAGACTATTAAAAAAATAGTAAAATAACAAAGGTCCCACACCAACTGTTCCTTTGCTTCCACTAAGTCTCATCACATTGGTTTCACTCACCTGGACTAAAATTCCCTTGGAAATTCCCTCTTTACTGTTCCTAGTTCTACTTTCTCCAAGTGGACCACTGCTTCTGGCTTGGTAGCTTGATAACCTGTCAAGGGGTAATCACAGAGAACCTGAGCAGTATTCGGGCTTGTGAGGAAAAGTTCTGTTTCAGGGATTGTGTCACGTCCTGCGTGGCAAGGGCAAATGGGACTCAAGAGGGGCGACGCAGATTGAATAAGAACAAGAGACAGAAGTAAGATAAGAGCGAGACAAAGGGACTCAGCCTAAGAAAGACTGAGCCCCGAATCGGGTCAGCGCATGGCTTTTATTGAGAATCTTCAAAGAAGCAAACTTCAGAACTGTGAATCATTAACCGTGTATATGTGGGTGCCTTAAGGCTTGTTCCCATTACCTGACCCCTTTGTACTCCAACAAATGCTATGCCTTCATGCATCACTGCACAGCCCCAGGACACTGTTACATGTCCTCCCAGGGGAGACAACTGATATCATTCCATCAGGTCTCAGTTTTCCGAGACGCGCCCCCCCCCCAGAGAGCTTTACAGATATCATTCCATCTGGCCTCAGTTTTCCGAGACACTCTCTCGACTACAGGGTATGAGGCTAATCCAGAGGGGGTGGTCGTGGGATTGGCTGTAAGGCAACAGGATTGTATAGTTTAAATCTCAGCAAAATAGAAACTTTTCATTTGGAAAATGAAAAGTAAGTCCAGTCACCGCCTGATCATAAAGAAAATAAATTCTATCATCTGTACAATCCAACTCCAAAATCATTAAGGATATCAGAATACCCATAATCTGTAGCAATGGAAAAAATACAGGCAATTAATGGGCTTATGCTGAGGTATGAAGGAAAGTTGTCTTTAACCAATGACATTAGGTTGCTATAAATTTCCAGCATCACATCCTGGTAGAGGTTCTTCTGAACAGTGTCTAGTAGCTGCCACTCTTCCCAGGTGAAATCCACAGCCACATCTTTGAATGACAATAAGCCCTGCTATAACATAATCCGTTTTAGTCTGGAGTTAATATAATGAAATAAAATAATTATAGGATATTCTGATTATTTATACTATGGAAATTTATAAATCAATATTTTTCTGTATCTAGTTTTGATTTATACTTTTTGGCAAATTCATTAAAACTATCCTCTCTCTGTGTATTCTTCATTCACGTCTTCACTCATTCATTCATCCAATGTAAAATGTTATTAAAATGTTAAACTACCTAAAACCCACCTGCAATCCACCACAGAAGTATTGGATGATACCTACTATGCATTTTGAAAAAAAAAAAAAAAAGGAAAAAGCATCGTCCTACATAAAATAGTTTCTGATCTACTTGAGTTCAAGGAACTGCAAACAGTTCAGTGAGAAAGAAGAAGAGGCTGAAGAGAACAGATGCCCAGGTGACAGGCAGGTACAGGTCTCACAGCAAGTGTACACATTTCCTGCAGACAATTGGTAGCCACTATGGTGTTTTTCATATACAAAAGTATGTTATGCTCAGAACTGCCTTTTAGGAATTGTCTATGACTTTTAGAAATATGATTGTATCATATTAAATTATGAAACAAAAGCAAACAGAGCTCTTAATATGTGCTATGTATTATTCTAAACATTTTACATATATTAACAATGATCTGCGCAATAACCTTTATGTAAGCACTATTATCTTCTTTTTACAGGTAAAAAGAGATTTTAAAAGTTTTCTAGCTGTGCCTTTTATATCTCCCACATTTCCTTAAGATGATTGTTCACTGGGTTCATAATCTCAACAACAACAACAAAAACAAAAAAACAAAAAAACCAGAAGAGGAAGACCCATCAAAGACATTTCTTCACAGTTAATGTCCAGGAAATATTATATTTACAGATCTCAACGAATTCATGGGCTTCCTCCTTACATACAAAATAAATCTTGTAACGTGTCTATGTTTTTTATGGTTTCCAGTATTACCATAGAAACATTTGTAACTCAGTTCTGGATCCTGCTGCATAATGGCAATGTCCTAATGATTAGCACCTTGCAGGACCCTATGACACGCAGACAAATCTCCCTTCCTGATGACTGCTCTGAATCATTTATTCTGTCTCTCAGTCTAAGAACATCCCTTCTAGCCACAATGTGTGTGTGTATATACATATATGTACACATACATACACACACATATGTATATATACTGGGGGTGCCAAAAAAAGTACACATTTTTAAGAGATGTTATCTATGTACTACTTTTCGAAGTTGAATTCAATTATGGTAGCAACATGTAGTATGACGTTCGCTCAAAATATGGCATTCATCAAATGAATGCTAGTGTCGTCATTCATTGCATTACAATTTTAACACAGTTTTTTTACTTTCTTAAAATGTATACATCTTTTGGCACCTTCTGTATATATATATATATATTTATCTTTGTATATGTTTTTATAAACTTCCAAAAATCTACTGGATAATGAACTGGGAAACAGCTCACCTGGGACTTGGTCATTTTCAGCAGCTTTCAGGAAATGGCCACCACTTTTAGTATCTGTCCTAAAATCCTGATAATGATGTCTCATCAAGGGTGTCCTCAACAAGGATTCATTTCTGGACTTGAGATCTCGTTTTCTTTCCTTTACAGGTGCTGCCTCATGTAGAAGCCAACATCTACAGATTTAAGAAAAGACTGTGGCATGAAAATAATAATAAAAACAAGTTCCTATACATGCAAAAAACTGTTTTAAGCATGTTCTTTTCACACTTAACCCTTACAATGACTCTTTGAATTACACACTATAATTATTCCATTTCAAAGAAAACTAAGAAAGGAAAGGCCAAGCACCTAGCTAAAAGCCACACAACTAGTAACTCATGGAACAAGGATAAAACACGAACCTTCATAATCAATAAATCCTCTGATTCCAGGGAGAATTACCAGAATTATCCTTCATATTAACAAGCTTTTAAAAAATGGGGAAAATATCTAGAACAACTATTTTGAGACACAGAAATCAAGAAAGAGGAAAAACAAAAAAGGCAAGACCCTTTGTGTGCTGCAGCTCACTGAATGGAGATACTTTCCAGGCGACAGCACAGGAAGGAGCCCAAGAAGAGTCTGGCAGTGTTGCTGAGTAAATGACACAGAATTCAAAGTTTAAGGAAGCAAAGGTGGCAAGTTTGCCAGGCAGGTGGGGGAGAGGGGAGAGAGAGACAGCACTCACTCTATAATTGTGCAGAGGGTTCCATTGAGTCTCTGGGTAATAGCTGATGAACTGTGAGGAAAATACCAAGTCCACTGGAAAGGAGCAGGTGGAAAAATTCATGAAGACCAGGAATTGCCTGTGTTCCCACTGGCCAGGATGGAAAAGACCTTCTAATATGCAGGGACTTCAAATAGAGTTCTCAGCAGAGTACTGCCTCAGTAACAGAGACAATGTAATCCTAGACTAAAGACTGTTTTGGCCCCACCTAACACAGCTAAAAGAAAGCCTCCAAAAAATCAAAATGTTTCAAAGCAACTTATCTACAGCCCAGAGCAAATCCCAAAATTAGTTAAAAGAATAAAAGAAAATGCTGCAATATAAAACTGTCAATATTTGACATCCAACAAAAAATTACCAGACATGCAAACAAGCAAAAGAACTGAAGAAAAGATCTGGATTTCAAGGACAATATGAGAAAGGACATGATAGACCAACCTCATCTATGAACTTAGCTATAAAAACCCTAAATAAAATATTAGGAAACTATGTCCACTAGATATATAAAGAGAGTTATACAATGTGCAGTAGACTTTATTTTAGGAATACAAGGACAGTGTAATAAGAACCATGTAATTATCTCAACAGATGAAGAAAAGACAAGTAATAAAATAACATAGCCACTTACAATTTTAAAAAGTCTTACTAAACTAGAAATAGACAAGAACTTTGTTAACTTGTTAAAGAGTGTTTACAAAAAAAAAATCCCCAGTATTTCTTTAAACCTAGGAACATGAAAATGATAACCACTCTCAAAACCTTTACCCAAAAATGTACCACAGATCAAACCCTGAGCAGTAAAATGGGAAAAACAAACTGAAGGAATGAAAATTGGGTAAGAATAAACAAAACTGTCATTATGCAACTGTTTTAAGATCAATATAAACATTAACTGCAATTTCATATTCGAACACCATAAAGATTTAAAAGAAAAAAACACTTTACCAACAAAATAAGTACCTAGGGGGAGGAGGAATGTACAAAACTATAATTTTATTATAACAAAAGGATACAAATCATAACCAGTCAAATGGAAGGACACAATACAGTGAGGTCTGGGGGTGGGGGTCCCAAACCAGAAGTTTCCACTGCTTTCCTCTTAGACTCAGGACACATTACTCATCTAGCATATCTGTCTGTAACAATATGCAGAGTATTGTCAACCACAGAAGCTCACTGAGCTTCAGTGTCTATAGTTTTTATTGGTTTCATGAAATAAGCATGATTAAACAATCATTAGCCATGTGACTCATCCTCCAGCAACCCTACCCTCCTGGAGGTTGAGCTGGTAGTACCTGGCTCAAAGCCCCAACGCTCTAATCACATGGTTGGTCTTTATGGCATAAGCAGCCCCATCCTGGGTGATCTCACTAGCAAAAACTATCTAGGGACCCACCATGAGTCACCTCATTAGTACAAAATACCAGGGCCCACGATAAATAACACAGACACTTCTTTCACTCAGGATATTCCAACAATTTAGAGGCTACCTCCCAAGGAATTGGGGCCAAAGGCCAGCCAATAGTTTAGTACAAAGCAATTAACAAAAGACTACCATTGTGAATATATCACTACTTTCTAAATATGAGTAAAGAAAAGACAAATTTTTCAGGTTTAAAATTGGCAAAGGAACATATAAAAAGGTGATCAGGACTGGCCAAGTGGCACGTTGGTTCAGAGCTGGCTTGGGACACCAGCTCTGAGCAGCAGGGCCCCGGTTTGGATCCCACATGAAGACCAGAGACACTGCGCCCTCTACAGCTAAGATGGTGAACAACAGCTCAACCTGGAGCTGAGCTGCCATGAATCGCCTGTGACAGTGTAGGCTGTACTGGAGCTGCAGTGGGCTCCCGTAAGTGGCTGGCAGCCGGCATGAGCTGCCAAGAGCCACTGTGAGAAGCCTGCGAGCGACTGCCTCACCTGGGAAGAGCACAAAGATAATACCAACATGGGCCAGTGAAGCGATGTCCTCCACAACTAGACTGAAAAACAAAAGGACAGCAACTTGTCTGTTCCCCTTCCCCAATTCCCCAACACTGTTCCCTTCCCCCAATTCCCCAATAAAATATTTAAAAATAAATAAATAAATAAATAAATAAATAAATAAATAAAACGATGATCAACCATGTCGGTAATGAGAACAGTGTAAAAAAAAAACCACAATGGGATACCTTTTATCCCCAAAAGATGATCAACAAGCAAAAATGAAAATACTAAATGTTGGAAAGACTATGGATCAAGAGGCACTTTTACACTTTGCTGATGAGTAAGGTAGTACAAAGGCAATTTGTCTTTTCCTTCTAGATAAATTCAACTACTTTATATCAGAAATTCCACTTCTTAGTATACACCCTAGCCTAGACAAATTCTCACATCGATCGGGAGACATATGTTTAGAACTTCACTACTGGTAGTAGACAAAACAATGCAAATGTCCAACAGCAGAAGAATGCATGTGTGAGTTATGTGGTATTTATGTAATGGAATTCTTTTTAATGAACCAAACCTACATGCAACATGGATGAATCACCGGCATGTAATGAGTAAAGAAAAGCACCAGAAGATATCATTATACTTATTATAAAACTTACAAACAAGAAAAACTACGGGGCCGGCCGAGTGGCTCAGTTAGTTAAAAGTTGGTTTGGGAGTGCAAGCTCTGAGCAGCAGGGCTGCCAGTTCGGTTTCCACATTGGCCAGTGACGCTGCACCCTCTACAGCTAAGATTGTGAACAACAGCTTGAAGTGCAGCTGGGCTTCTGTGAGGGCCGGCGACAGCATAGGCTGCAGTGGGCTGCTGTGAGCTACTGTGAGTGGCCGGCAGCCAACGTGAGCAACTGGCAGCTGGTGAGAGCTGCAACGAGCTGCCATGAGCCGCCATCCAATGGCCAGTGACCAATCTGCCTCAGTCAGGAAGAGCACAATGATCATAATACCAACCTGGGCCAGTGAAGCGGCATCCTACACAACTAGACTGAAGAACAAAAGGACAGCAACATGTCTGTTCTCCTTCCCTGATTCCCCAATGCTGTTCCCCTCCTCCTATTCCCCAATTTAAAAAAAGAAAAGAAAAACTAAAGAGTGTTCTCTTACGGTATCCACACATATGTGATAAAATAAAAGTCAAGGGAATAATACATACTAATTTGTGAATAGTTGTTCCAAACTTTGGGACAGTAGGTGGAGGAGGGGTTAGGAACATGGAACAAGGATGGAGGACTCTTCCATTTTAAAATACTCAAACATGACCTCTTATTAAACAAAATTATAAAGAAAAGCCAAGGCTAACGATGGAAAAAAACATGGCACACTGTGGAAACATTATATATAAAACATTATCGGGAAAGTTTGGTAAAGCTAAATCAGAAGACTTTGAAATGTGCATTTAATCTGACTTTTCTAAATTAAAAAAAGAAAAATATCCACAATATATAATTCAGTTTAGAAATACATTTCAGAACATAACAGATAATGTCTAGATAGTAAATTGAAGGTGGTTTTTGTTCTCTGCTTTTTATTGACGATAAGCACACAATATTTGATTTAAAAATTAGAGATCTCCAGGGCCAGCCGAGTGGCTCAATTGGTTAAGAGTTCGCTCAAGAGTGTGAGCTCTGCAGAGCAACAGCGGTTCCATGCCTGGCCTGAGCTGAGCTGCCAACATCAGGTGGCAGGATGGCTCAGCTAAAAAAAAAGAAAAAGAAAAATTAGAGATCTCTATTTAATATCAAACAGAAACTCATAGATGATATGTAATATAATATAAATAAGTTAATAGAATTGTTTTATTTTTATTTATTTATTTTTAAAGATTTTAATTGGGGAATTGGGGGGATGGGAACAGTGCTGGGGAATTGGGGGAAGGGGAACAGACAAGTTGCCATCGTTTTGTTCTTCAGTCTAGTTGTGGAGGACGTTGCTTCACTGGCCCAAGTTGGCACCATCATTGCGCTCTTCCCAGGCGAGGCAGATCAGTCG